ATTCTTATTATTATTATTATTATTATTATATATTTTGTAGCGGTTTACCTCAGCAAGATAGGAATATTGCTTCAAGTTATGGACTAGATAATTATTTTGGTCAGTCCTCACACTTTCAAATGACGGAAAATGTCGGGACATCCTCAAATTTTCATGTCTCGCCTACTTTTGATGCAGATGATTGTCGGTATGTCCAACACTTGATTTTTTATTTAAGTAAGTTAATTGCATGAGACAAATATTTATACTTTTTTACATATATAGGGAAAATATCACACAAGATGAGCCCATTGATCCTGTAAATATCGATGATCGTGACCTTCCAAATTACGGCTCACCTTCAGCTAGTGATAGTGATGATTTGCCTAATGCCGAGGAATTAGGAGATAATGTTCCATTTGAGGTATCATCTAGTGATGATGATTTTTTAATGCCCAATCGGTCGCCAAGACCAATGTCCATGAGTCCTTTTTGTAATCATGAAATTCCTTATCTGGATCATCTCCAAGATGGTCCAGATATCTTTGGCGATACACATGATGAATATACATCACAACGTACTGGGGTGAACCGGAAGATTTCATGAATGGTGCTATTTATATTGAAAAGGGCATGTTGTTCAATTCAAAGAAGCAGTTGCAAAGAGCAGTTAAGCTTCTACATTTAAAGATAGCGAGGGAGTACTTTGTTATTAAATCGACAAAGAAATCATGGCGACTTGTTTGCAGGCGTGTAGAACAAGGATGTCGATTTAGGCTAACTTCTTTTAATGATAAACATACTAACATGTGGAAAGTTGGAAGATACATTAAAGAACATACATGTGATATGGGTACGTGCCGCGATGGACATTTCAACTTGGATGTTGAGATGATTGCTAACGTCCTTCGTGTTGATATAGAAAAAACACCAAGGTACTATTTTATCCTTAGATGATTTTTCTTTAATAAGAAAATATTCATTTTTTATTTGATAATTAATATTATTTTTACTTTTCAGGTTTCCCATCAAAGACTGTCAAACAACGGTTCTTAAAGCATATGGCATTTCGATAAGCAGAAGAAAAGCATATCTTGGTCGCAAGCGTGCTTTTGAAAAAGTCTATGGTACTTGGGAGGGTTCTTTTTCCGAGTTGCCGAGGTTCATGGAAGCTTTGAAACACTTCAATCCCGGAACAATAGTTGAATGGAAAACAGAGCGGCGTGTCGATGTCATTGAAGATGTATTCAACTATGTGTTATGGACTTTTAAACCATACATTGATGGGTTTGTGTTTTGTCGTCCTGTTATATCGATCGACGGAACACATGTCTATGGAAAATATGATATTAAGTTGTTGATTGCGATTGCAACAGATGGTAACGGCTCAATATTACCTTTGGCATTTGCAATAGTTGCGAACGAGAGCATGGAGACATGGAGTTTATTTTTGGATCATTTGCACTTGCACGTTGTCAAGGGTCGTAGAGGTGTGATATTGATTTCAGATAGGCATCACGGAATACTCTCATCCGTGTATAATTCTCCCAATTGGGAGGCCCCATTTGGGTTCCATCGTTTTTGTTTAAGACATTTGAAGGCCAATTTTCAAAAAAAATTCAAAAATGTCATTTTAAACAACCTTTTATGGGCAGCTGCAAATCACTGTCAGGAGAAAAAGTTTTTGGAAAAAATGGAGATGATCAAGGAGATTAACCCGGAAGCGTATGTGTGGTTAATGAAGAACGATCTTGACAAATGGACATTGCACAGGGATGGAGGTAGGAGATGGGGCATGTTGACAACAAACAGTTCCGAGTCATTCAATGGTCTTCTTAAGTCAGCCAGGGGCCTGCCAGTTACTGCAATGGTAAGACTCACTTACAATCAGATTGTGAACCGATTTGTTACAAGATCAAAATTTGTCAATCAGCTAGTACAACAAAAGCAACAATGGATGCCTAAACCATTCAAGATTTTTGAGGATAATCGAAAAAAGTCACAACGTCACACACTTATCAACTATCACCAACAAAGGGAAAACATATTTGAGGTACAGACACATATGCATAATGGTTGTGGTGGCAATAAGCACATTATAAATGCATCACAAGGAAAATGTCAATGTGGTAAATGGCAATCATACCACATTCTGTGTTCTCATGCAATAAAGGGATTTGACCAAATTGGGTATCAAGCATGGGAGCATATGGCACCAGAATTTAGCGTGCGTAGCTACAAAAAAGCCTACTCTGGACAATTCAATCCACTCGACGGTGAAAAATATTGGTCTGATAGTCCTTTTCTTATGATAGCAAATAAAAAATATTTACGAAAAGTGGGCGTAAATAAAATCACCCGTATACATAATGAAATGGATGTTCCCGCAAGTACACTTACTCGCAAATGTTCAACGTGCAAACAAATAGGCCATGATAGGCGTAACTGTCCTTCACAAGCTCGAAACGCCTCATATGGTGGTAGTAGCTAAAGAAAGATGTTTAATTGTGTTAATTTATTCTTGTATCAATTTCTATGCAACTTTTTATTTGTATTTTTGATCATCCTCGAGTGTTTATATTTTCTAATTTTTTCATTCACTTTTTTAAAAAAAAAATACATACACAAAATAATAACTATATATAATTAAAATAATAATACTATTCACCCTCAAAAAAAGATACATACACAAAAATAATAACTATATATAATTAAAATAATAATACTATTCACCCTCAAAAAAAGATACATACACAAAAATAATAACTATATATAATTAAAATAATAATATTATACACCCTCAAAAAAGATACATACACAAAAATAATAACTATATATAATTAGAATAATAATAGTATACACCCTCAAAAAAGATACATACACAAAAATAATAACTATATATAATTAGAATAATAATACTATACACCCTCAAAAAAGATACATACACAAAAATAATAATATTATGTTCCACAACCCTTTCTTGAAATCCGTAGAACATCTCGCGGTCTAAGTCCCGTATATCCATCCTCATCTTCATTGTCCCTCTTCCTCTTTTTGGCCGGAAGATCCTTTATGTTCACATTCTTTACAATTCTTTTAACAACTTTTTTTCTTCCGGGTGTTTGAGGCATATCATCCACTGGCATAATGAAAGTAACATCTGGAGACAAGAGTGGTGACAAAGTGGTCTGCAAATAGAAAGTTAGATAGTAGAAATTGAAAATGAATTGACAAAAATAAAGAGATCCATCTTTAAAGAGATCTAGCAATACAACAATAAATCCAAGCACACCAACACTATATATTCGTATGCTCCATTCTTTATTTTGGATCATAGAATCAGAACCAAGACTTCATTATTAAGACAAAAATCCAAATTAACCTAAGTTCCATTAATAAAATTTTGAACAGATGCAAACATCATGACAACCAAAAGAACTAAGAAATGCAAAATTAAACCCAACTGATAGAAATATTATCTCTAACTGCTCCAAGCATTGATACATTTATCCTAAAGCTGACAATGTCAAAGTATGTCTTTACTACTACATTTCTTATATAAAATCAAAACATTAATAACTAATGTAAATATTTTAAAAGAAATAAATAACATAAACCTGTATCACATTGGGATCCTCATTAACTGTCGGAACGACATTCTCTATAATCGCCGTGGGGCTCTCCTCCACGGTGGATGAAGGCCCCGTAGTATGAATCTAATAATTAAAAGTTAACTTAATATAAAATCAAATGGAGAAAAATACAAATTTGGATTCAAAACATCAAAGATACAAACTTTTAGAAACCAAATGGAGAAAATACATAACAAGATAACCCCACTTCCTGTAACTAAAGGAAAAAACTGTATAAAGCAGTAAAGCAAATCAAGCATAGATGCAAATTTGGATCAAGATACAAACTTTAACAACCCAATTCAAAAAAATAGAAATATAAAAGAACCCCACTTTCTGTAATTAAAGGAAAAAAACTGTATTAAATACATAAATAATACAAACCTGCGACTCAATCGGATCATCAAGCAGTCCTTCAATAAAATCTTGAGTGTTATAAAGTGCAGTATCTTCGGTGTCACAATGGGCAGTACCAGATGTGCCCTACAAAAATATATAAATAGTTATTTTGAAATATTTATATTAGTTATTAATGTTTTAAGTTTATATTAAATTGTTAATGCTTACCGCCATATCAGGTATATAATCTCCAAATGACATATCTAATAAATTCATGATGTCTGATGTGCCAAATTGATGGATATGCAAATCATCGGCCTCTACTCCCGCCTCTGCCTCTATGTCTGGAGGAATAGGTATACCACCGGCGCCACGTCCTAGAGCACGTCTTCGTGCTCTACCTCTATGCCCCCCACGTTCTCGTCCTCGTCCTCGTCCATCTACACGTCCACGTCTAGGTCCTCTGGCACGTATATGTTCAAACAAAGGATCTCCCTCAAAAAATGGCTCTCTAAATTGTATTGCGGCCTCAAGCAATGTATCCCTAACAATCTGAGATACCTCTTCACCATGTGAAGCTAAGGCTGTGTCTCTCTGCCACTGTAATGCAAGATTGTGCAACTTAAATAATCCTATAGACATCGCAATGCTAGTACCAGCAGAATGAACAAAGCCTGACGGTACATCAACCTCTAATGCAGGCTTACCTATAAGCAACCTTCCATACCGCATGTACCATGATTTATACCCTACCCCTCTAGTACCATCATCTACCTCAACCGCTAAACTCTGATGTCGATTACCCCAATCACGAAAATATTTATCCAACATTTCAAGAACCTCCGAACCAAGCCTCCTACGCTGATCATGCACGTAGTGGTTGGTTCCCCAACTAGAAATCGCATGTATATGTTGGGGACGACCAAACTGATGCATCACTCTATCAGGTGCGTGCACCTCAACAATCTCTAGGCAAAGCATAGGCACGCATGCCATCCATAAAGGCTCATCGATCGTACAACAATGAGGTAGTGTATGTAAAATCTCATTTTACGGTGTCCATCGAAACTATTTTTAAAATATAACAATTAGATAAAATCAACGTTAACCGCTTAGTATATAAATAAAATTATTATTGATTTACTTTTAAATAATTTACTTTTATATGTAGATTATATATATATTTTTAAAAAAACTAGTAAAGAGTTACAAATATTATTTGATGTACCTGATCCTTCGTCATGCGGTCTAGCTGATCTCTAATCGGGATAATAACATGATGTGACTCAGTATCCCTATCAATTCCACGCGTCCATCGCCTAGCATATGGAAGTAATACATCACCATCATGCGGCGGAGGAGCTGATGGTTGTACAGGCAAGATCCTCTCCCAACACCAAACCTTAATGTGACAAACAAAATAATTAAACTATCATCATTAACAAAAAAAAAATTAACAATTACATATATCTATTTTTAATAATTTTTAGAAATTATTTGTATCTAATTTAAATATTTTAAAAAATTGAATATAGAAAAAATATTCTTGTACAGTATAATGTTAAAAGATTCTTTGTATTTGAATGTATTTTAAAACTTTAGTAAAGTTACCTGAAGGAGAGGAATAAATCCGCAAATGTCAACCACATTACCGATAGATGCCCGACAAAGTGCACGGTACAAGTAGGCCAACACTGCACTGCCCCAACTATACTTACCTACGTCGTGGATAGGATCTAGGAACGCCAAGTATTGTAAGCTAATAAGGTTCCCCGACGTGATCGGAAATAAGATGCCCCCTAATATAACAAGCATGTAAAGTCTAGAAATTTTGTCAACCCGCTCCACTGGAGTTGCATCTCCTATCGGATCTACTTGTAACTGATCTCGCAAGTAGCCGGTAATGCTATGTATCCTCACCCGGCTCGCACCATCCATATCAGTAGGTGCTATGGCGCATCCTGTGAGTGTCTCTAATAAAGTACGCCATGGACGAATCCTCCGTGTAGCATCCTGCATGTACACAACATCACCATCGATGCGCAAACCAAACAAGACCTGCACATCCTGTAATGTAATCGTGACCTCACCAAAAGGTAAGTGGAAGCAATGAGTCTCTGGCCTCCAACGCTCAACCATAGCTGTAACAAGGGCACGGTCATACTGCATCCTGCCCACACAAACTACATCATACAGTCCTGACCTACGTAAGATCTCCTCAACACGTCCATGAGGTCGATGCAAAGGAAATAAATTCCAGGCATCATTCATGCGCACCGTCCTCATAAGGCTAGTAAATGATATCTCACCTTTTCATAACAATTCTGATTTATGCTCATGCTGAGAGAGAAGAAGTGTACGATCAATCGGTCCAGGATTCACAACACGCTCCATTATATTCTGTAAGAAAAATTCTATTATTTTTGCAATTAAGGATTGTATATGGTCAAATAGATTTAAATGGTGCGTACTGGAGAACTAGAGCAAAGCAGACCTTGACATTCTGCTAGTCAATGAGTATCAGTAACGTTTTATCTCAAGGAATTTGGTGTACCAATTTCTAAATCATTCCAACTCATTAATCTTTTCTATTCATAACTCTCTGTTTAAACCTAATCATATGTTGTAATTAATTATGAAATGAAAAAGTTTTGTATTTGCTATGGGATATGCTGCTGCTTATATGAAGAAGTTATGCTATTGAATTGTGTTAAAACAATTTTTCTTTCCTTTAACGTACTGAAGAATATTTTTTTATCTTGTGTTTGCAGATGATTTGTAAATTGGTTATGGTGATTTGTATATTAGGTTGAATTTTAGATGGTTTGTTCTCTACAAAACTTTTGATTGTTAAATTATAAAAATGTGCATTGACAAATTATTGGTGGATTTATTTATCTTAAGCTAATTAAAGGAACTGTCTCCAAGGAATCCCCATCTAGTGGCACTTTTCTTCAATTTCTCTATTATGTGTTTGATTCTATCTTATATAGTTCTTTTATGTGCTATACTACGATGTAGCCAAGTCTTTTAGTGATGTTCAATATTTCTTGAATCTCCCTAGCCTCATGTCAGGCTTGCAAATTGGACTTCTTGAACAGAAACGAATAGTAGAGTATTTTTGGAGAATCTGATATGGGTGCAACATCAAAAGTGAAGAGTCCGTGCAGCTAAGGATTTAGGACAAAAGGTTTTCCTCAATCCAAACATAAACAAGAATGGGAGCATATGTCAAGGAGCATTGGAGCCGTGGCCTAACAATATTTAAGGTTTGTTTCTTAGTGTATTTAAATTATTTATTGTTGAATTACTGCTTCATTATAAAATGTTTGATTAAATATCATAGAATTTTTTCTTTTCTTGTGCTCATAGTATCCTTGTACTTCTTTAACTGGTTTCTTTGTTGTATAGATTTTATGTAGTAATTATGTTATTTAACTTGTTTCTTTGTTGTATAGATTTTATGTAGTAATTATGTTATTTAACTTGTTTCTTTGTTATATAGATTTTATGTAGTAATTATGTTAGTTAATGTAGGGCTTGGTAAGCATTTAGTGTTGCTAATAAGGATGTAGAAAAGTAAACTAAATTAAAATTAATATGAGTTGCAGAATGAATGGTGTTGACTTTTGTTTTTAGATTTGGATTGACTGTCACTTGTGTTTCTCATTTCAAGGACTTAGGTTATGGTTCAATTTATTTAGGAGTTATTATTTATTGCCACTGCATAAATTTTTTGATTTGCATCTCTGCTAAGCTTTATTTTGATGTGCTTTGGTTTTGGTGATATACTGATAATACTATGTTTTTACTTAATGGAAGTACTTGTTATTCTAGTCCTTATTCGGTAATTAGTAGGAACTAGAAGTGACAATAGTTATTTTCTTTATGGAAAAATACATAAGCCTTTAACTTGGCTTCATTTTGCGTCTACACCCTTCAACTTTGGTTGTGCACAAACAAACACTTCAACTTATATAGAGCTGAACAAGTAAACACATGCGTCTTACTTGGCATCCTACATAGCAATTCGCATCCTACACATCATCATACGTAGTGTCCTATGTGTATTGTATCACGCAAGACGCGTTTACAAGTTTATTCAACTTTATACAAGTTTAAGTGTTTACTTGTGCAAACAAAATATTAAAGGGTGTAGATGCCACCTCAAGCTAAGTTAAAGGGCATATTATATATTGTGTCTTTCTTTAATATGTTTGAGAATATGCTATCTGACTAATTATATACTTCTGTCCAAAATTAAAGAAGTTTCTCTATATGATGGGGTATGGAATGGTGCTGACTTTTTATTCTGGAAAGTTGTTTAAAATGGAATGTTTGGCCAATAACATTCCCAAGGTATACCCACGAATTGAAGTACATCCTTAAGATATCCATGTGAACCAAAAACATGGTTATTGTTTTTCTAAATAAACAATTTTCATCCTTTCATTATCCAAAGTCAAAAGGTTTACAAAAACATAGAACTCGTGTGAGTTTACATGGTATGAAAGCCTCCCAAAATATCTTCTTTGTTCATACATTATAGCCTAAATGTTCAATAAAAATTTAGTAGTATACTCGTTGGTGTCTTTAATCTTTTGGTGTTTGATTCCTTTTACTAAAAATGTGTCATTCTTCTTCTGTTAAAACCTATAAAATAATCTAATGTATACGTCATTAGACCAATTTGCTTAGTTCAAATTATTTATGTCTCTTTACTTGTTATTTGATTTATTTTATTATTCAAAATGACTAATTTTTTTTTTCTTTTCAGAACACATTTATAAAAAACTTATTAAGGAGAAGGTTGATGGGATTTCTACACCAAGGGATGAATTGGTATTGAAGTACTATAAGGAGACAATAAATTTGAAGAAACATGCCAACAAATGGAGCTGGAGACGTTAAGTTGGAGGACAATGCCAACAAGGAGCTTATGTTGATGTTTTTGAGCTTAAGTTGACATGGAGCTAATTTTTATGTTTTTAAACTTCAGATATGTTCGATTTTATTTATATACATGTTATTCATTTCTGAAGGACATACCATTTTGAAATGGTTGTGCAAATAAATGCACAAGTATAGTTAATGAATTAGTGTAATTTGAATGGATTCAATTATTTATTTCATGATATGTGAAATTTAAGTAATTTTGGTTTCTTCTAAAAGTAAGCTAGGGATCATGAAAACATAACAAATCAAGCCAAGAAAAAGCTAGGATGTTTACATATTAGCTTAAAAAATATCCAAGCAAAAGAGAGTTGTTTGCTATGAAGTTACCTAGGGAATAATCCTAGCTATTATTTGCTTGGATATGTTTCTTAGAAAAAATATTCTAGCTAAATTAGCTAGGCTAACAACGTTTTTCCTAGCAAAATTTTAGCTAAGAGTGTATTAGCTACAAAAGGTTGCTACGGTCATTTTCCTAGCAAAAATGATGTTAGCTAATTTTGTAAGTTAGCTAGGGATTTAGTCTCTTGCTAATGACATGTTCTCTTGTTTGCAATACCAATCCAACAATGTAATTCATTTTGTCTATTTCGAATTAAAGACTTTTTTCTAACTCAATAATTAGAAATTGAATGCATACTGTATAAGGCATCGTTTTAAAGTAATGAAATTATGAGATGGAAAAAAATTACCTAATTTGTATAATTTGTAGGATCGGATTGTTATGTTGTCGGATTGTGCTACTCCAATCTTTCAAGATTTTGATTTTTTAGTGTAGGGTTGCTTCAATTGTCGGATTGGGACCATCAACTGTTATGTTAATCTTCAAAGTGAAGTTTGGAAGCCATGAAAGTGAAAGGGGAGAAGAAGAAAGTGAAAAGGTAAAGTAACTTTTTATAAAGTGGAAGATTTTCTTCCACTTTATAAAGTGGAAGAAAAAGTTCCACTTTACAAAGTGTAAGAAAAACTTACACTATATAAAGTGTAAGAAATAGTTCCATTTTATAAAGTGTAGGAAATAGTTCCGTTATATATTAAAACATACACGTTATGAGACTAACGGAAAACGTTTAGAATATCAGATAAAGTGGAACTTTTTCTTCCACTAAGCCTATTTTAGTTACTTACAAAAGTAGTGGCTTATTTTGGTTCCGAACTCTATATAAGATCTAGTAGGCCATACATACACCATTAATGATTCACATATATACATCCAACTTCTACTTTGAAAACACATAAATATATGTACAGTTGGTTACACATAAATCGATTTTAGTTAGGATTCGATTTGTATGCACGTGAATAAGTGTATATTGCTATATTTTAATAGAAGAACGATTATACATTTTCAAAAAAAATAAAAATAAAGGACAAATTACTTAACTACACTCCTTTACTTACCTTAATATCCATTTATCCCTACTTATTTCAAAAATTTCAAAAATCCCTTATTTACCTATGTATCCCGTGCACAACGCTATGTGGAATGTATCAAATGCTATGTATCCTGTGCACAACGCTATGTATCCCGCATGTATCCCGTGCACAACGCTATGTATCCCGCTATGTGGAATGTATCAAACCTAATGTATCCCGTGCACAACGCTATGTATCCCGCAAACATCATTTGTAAGGGATTTTTGGTAAATAGAAAACTAGAAGGGATAGGATATTATTTAGTACTTATAATATGTGGTTCCTATAATTTATACATAAATAAAAGTATAAATTATAGGAACCACATATTATAAGTACTAAATAACATCTTATCCCTTCTCGTTTTCTATTTACCAAAAATCCCTTAAAAATGATGTTTGCGGGATACACAGCGTTGTGCACGAGATACATTAGGTTTGATACATTCCACATAACGGGATACATAGCGTTGTGCACGGGATACATGCGGGATACATAGCGTTGTGCACGGGATACATGCGGGATACATAGCGTTGTGCACGGGATACATGCGGGATACATAGCGTTGTGCACGGGATACATAGCGGTTGATACACTCCACATAGCGGGATACATAGCATTGTGCACGGGATACATGCGGGATACATAGGTAAAATAAGGGATTTTTGAAATAAGTAGGGATAAATGGATATTAAGGTAAGTAAAGGAGTGTAGTTAAGTAATTTGTCCTAAATAAAATCTCGCTATATTTTACAAAAACGGAAGTTAATAGCGCTACTTATGAAAAAATTTCCTTTAATTTCTTTATCCTTAGTGGGCCGGAACAGCCCATTAGAAATTCTTAACTGAATCTATTTGAATTTTTTAAAACTAAGGTTAAGTATATCCTAAATCTTTTATCGTTACGTAGGACATAATAAGGCTCTATAGCGATAGTTTTGATAATTATGTTTTATAACTACAGTTTCGTTTGCTATGGAGGCAGCGGTTTGTATATTTCTGTCCGTTTGTATATTTCGATTGCGAATAAACAAATAGGGTAAGTATATACAAATTCTGTATTTATACATTTAAAAAATTTTCAAAACTCCGTTTGTATATCGCTTGTCAATATACAAACAAAGTAACTTATTATATTTTTTTCATAAATCGTATATACAAAATTCTGGATTTATACAATTAGAAATCGAATTACACGAATTATGTATTTATACAATCAGAAATTGAATTATACAAATTATGGATTTATACAAATCAAACAGATTATACAAATCAGGCGAATAGCAAGAATTGGAGAAACTATAGCCATAAATTACAATTTTCTTAAACTATAGTTATAATACCTAATATATGCTAAATATTTGTTATTCTGCATAATTTTCCCTTTATTAGATTCATATAAACCAATGTTTAATATTTCTTTTCTTTAACCTTTCAGCTTGTCAATAAGTCGTCAACATGAAATATTATATTATTTGCCCAATTAGACACACCAACAATTATTGGGTGTGACCAATGATGGGTAGAGTCAAATTTCAAACTTTATGAGTCGTAAATGATTTAGAATATCACCATTAGATTTAAATAATCAAGTTTTGAATATCGCACTTGTTTAGTAGATTTTTGACTGTGTGCACCCATTTTTTAATCCCGTGTGAAACTAAAATTGTTTTATGCACTGAATTATCTCTTATTTTAATTTATTTCCGGTGAAAAAAGTAATCTAATAATAAAAATAAACAGGGAAAGAATTTAATAAGCCACAAAATATCCTCTTATATCCTCGATCGTATTTATGAGAAAAACATTACATTATTCAAAAACCAAATTTTCCTTAAATTGCTTTGGAGAAAGGTGGATTATCAATCCCCTCCTACTATTTGAAGGGTAAAAAAGGGAAATTAATATATATATATATCTAGTGCCTTAATTATAGCAAAAGTCTCATTATATCGTAGATAAAATAAAGTTACAAAAAAAGTCCCCTTAATATTTTTTTTACCACACCATCCCATCAGAAGGATCAACAATGTTTCCACGTATCCTTAATTAGATACGTTGGAAAGGAAGAGATTGTCCATTAAGGAAAGAAGTGAAGAATGCAAGTGATTCACTAGGCTTGAAAGTTGGAACAGCATGTCCTGCTCCTCTAAATGTTGCAAATGTCAATCCCTTGTACTCTTCAACCCATCCTCCTACCTAATTCATAATAATAATAATAACGATAAAAATAATATCCGCGTTAGATAATATTAAGAATAAGAGAGTAACAACGATACCAAATTACAAAATTTTAATTAGGTATGTACCTGTTTTTGATGGTACCATGGTCTCCATTTTGCTGTAATTGGCAAACCAAGGGCACTTAAACTATATCTTGTTGATAAAACAGGAACTCTTCCATCAGTGTCTCCACTAAGCAGACCAAATCAAACAGGATGATGAAGTATAATTAGACCATAATATTATTCTTAATAATAATTAGCCACATTTTACATTTTCTAAAGGAGCACCAATAACTTAGTTTAGGTCCCAAAATTAATAATAATAATGTGTAAAATATGACAAGAGGAAAAGTGGGTTTTTTTTTTTGTGTGTGTGTGGGGGTGTTTGTTTTTTTTTTTTGTTGGGGGGGGGGGGGGGGGTTTAAGAAGAGAAAAAGTGATATAATTGTGTTAAGGAATACAACTCAATTTGTCCCAATTTATATGACTAACTTATCTTTTTAGTTGATCTAAAAAAGATTGTCATATTTTTTTATTTGACAAATATTTAATGATACTATCAACATTTTACTCATGTTGAGTTCCACTTATTTGACAAAAAGTCTATAAAGGTATACTCCTTTTAAGGGTAATTTTGAAACATTACAAAATTTTTCTATATTTAACTCTGTATTCAATTAAAATACGTCACATAAATTGAGACAGTACCTGTAAACCCAAATTTTGAGTCCAGCATTGATGAGTTTGTGATAAATAGGAAGAACTGATTCCTTTGAGTCTGACCAACTACCAAAGATTGTCATACTGAATATTCAAATATTAAAAAAAAAACTGTTAGTTTCTCTGCTTTAGACTCTCACATCATGTGTGGACTAAATAATATTTTTTTTTAAAAATAAAAAATAAAATTCATTAATAATTACTTGCAAATGCTCCAATTTTTGAGGTGTTGACCATCACTTATAACATGGAGAGCCTTTTGAACATCAAGTCTATTGTAATAAGAAGAAGTATAATCATCAAGACATGGGTCATATCCTCCCATGATCCTTGGCATCTAATTAGAAAAAATCAACAATATATCAGATGTGTAACTATATATAAAATGATGTTTATCTGTTATAACAGATAACCTGTATTATTTATCGTTACCATTTTGGACTTGGTGTCAAATAAAACTTGTGTGGTTTGTTGTTGAGTAGTAGCAGTATCTCTTATGCATACTGAAGTGTAAAGGCTATAGATATCAATTTCTTTGTACTGTTTGAGGACTTCATCAACAGCCTCAGAACAAGTTTGATTGCTCCATGTATCATCACTGTGAAAATTACAAGTATCAGAAATAGTTTTATGAGTTTCATCAGAAATGACAGCATGGCTCCAAGCATAATCCACTAGACCCTTCCAATCCTCTGCATCACATGTTTCTGGATTACCTAGCTGCACCACATCATCAACAACATTTTTTTATTTAGAAAGAACCATAGTTCATATACTTTATCTGTTTTAATTTATGTGACACACTTCTTATTTTAGTCTGTTCTAAAAAAAGATAAACTTCTAAATATGGAAATAATTATTTTTGTTATATTTTCACTTTTTACCTTTAATGAGAATATTTTATAAGCACATAGTAGATGTTGTGTCATGTTTGAAACACCCCCCCCCCCCCTTTACCACTATACTTAGTGTTAACATCTCACTTATAATTATATGAGATCATTTTTACTCTATTTGCACAATATATTCACTACCTAGTTCCGCCACGGGCTACGACATGGTTTGGATTGTAAATTTAAATGATATTAATTTTTTTTCTTATACTTTGTGTCACACGATTCAAACTATGTCATATAAAATGGAATGTAATATGTAGAGGGAATATACATACCAGGATTCCTCTGAGATCAATGAAAAGGGAAGGGTCTTTATTCTTGTCAACAATGACTTCAGCCAACTCAGGTACATATTTTCCTATGCCAAAAAAAACAAAAAAGATGTAAGCTGAAACTTTCACAAAGTCATATATATATATATTGTATCTGGTATAATACCTGCATAACTCTCTCCAGCAATATAAAATGGTCGTTTTTTATATGATGGGAACTTGAGAAGCCACTTGTGTAGAAAAGTATATGTGTCATTGGCTGGTAAATCAGTCCAAAAAGGTTAGGGAAAAAGGACAAGTAAAATATATATATCAACATCACATATGTAAGGTATTTCTAGAGGAATATATTACATAAGACATTAGGACAAAATATCAACATCACATAAGATATTTCTGGAGAAACATATAGTACACACATGACTTATTGAAAGATGACCAATTCTTGAAAAGATAAAAGTGAAAAACAAGTTAAGTTTATGAGAGGTAAGTCCGAGTGACAAGTTTGCAGACAACGAGGGTATAAATAGTCGCATAGTATAACAAAGGATAAACAGGATATTTTTGACCTTTTTCCCTAATTAATATAAATCTCACCTGTGAAATCATCTCCAATGATATGATAATCACCACTTGTATTTGAGTATGAAAAGCCAACACCAATTGGAGATTCCAAGAACAACAAGTTTGCCTCTGCATCAATATTATTTCAATTTAGTATTTAAGAACAAACAAACACACATAAAAATGTAAGCATGTAAATTAATTTATATGATAAAGCATATATTAAACCTTTATTCCATGAATAAGGATTAAGTTGTAGGCCAAAACCATCAAAGTCTACAAGAAAAGGCCCAATCTCTTGAGTTGCTCCATATCCCACTGAAGAACATCCTGGACCTGAAATTATCAACCAAATAATTAAAATTTTCTCAGTTTCAATTTGTTTGTCTGATTTTGATTTGACATTTGAGAAAGTTAGAAAGTTGGAATCAAAGAGCTGCAGAGACTAAAAAAGAAAGTGCATAAGACACAAGTGTGAAAATGAAAGCTAAATTGTTTGACTAGCTAGTGGAATTATATATATTAATCTCATTGAAAATGAATTTCTTCAATTGTTTTCCAAGCCTCTTTTTTTAGTCAAAGATAATTTATTAATCTTGTCTACAAACCTTGAATATTGGTCAAAAAGATATATAATAATGCCAAATTCCATTACCATCAAAACATAATATTATCCATTTCTCAATCCAAGAATATTGTCCTTAGGATAAACTTTTGTAGATACCATAATTTAACAACCTTAAACATGTCTAAGAAACCAAAACTCATAATAAATAAATCAACATATAGTTTTCCTACTTACAACGACGATAACAATATGTTATTACACGTATGATTACTGAACTTTATTCATGTAAGGTCTTACGTACCTCCATTGAGCCAAAGCACTAAAGGTTTATCTTGAGGGTCAATTGAGCATTCATAGAACCAATAAAAGAGTGCTCTTCCATTTTTCTCATTTACTGTGACATGTCCAGCATAATGTTTGAAATTTACACTAGGTTGTCCTGGCAAATTAGTGACTAGATCCTCAATATAACTACTGTCCAATGAAGAAGAATCAGGCTTGTTATTATTGGATAATTCATGAGAACGTCGTCCAACGATTTTTATTGGCTCCAACAATAATATTAAGGAAATAATAATAATAAGAAGCAGAGAATATTGGGAAAACATAATGTTTGATATATTATAAAAAAACAACTTGGAGCTAGACAAGCAAGTAGTAGTATTTGTTAAGAGTGAAAATACACGACATCCCACCTATCTATTTATAGTTGTGGCAACAAAGCACTTTATGAACAAATGTAACCACAAAAAAAAAAAAAACTTTTTGAACAAACCCATTATCTATAAGGTGTGAATCATTTTTAGAAATCAGAAAAAAAAAAACTGGAATTAGCTACCATATCGTAGTTAAATTCCATTGCTCGTAGGCAAACGAGCGAGTCGAGTCGAATATGAGTCGATAAAAAAACAAGTTAAATAAAAATGGATAAGTTACTCAACTCGACTCGACTCACATTTTAAATGGGTAAAAATGAGTTATCCAATGGATAATATGAATAATCATATTTACCCATATGATAATAGAAATCTTGTTAAAAACTTTAAAAACAAAAAAAAAAAATTAAGTTTTTTTTTATCACTTCACTCCACCCCCTACCAGTCCCCAAGATTAAAAAAACTACCACCCAAACCCCATTCAAAAAAAAAAATTAACAAAATTTTAATTTTTTTCATTAAGATTTTTTTAATTTTTTTTTTTTAAAAAAATTACCACTCCACCCACCTACCAGCCCCCCTCCCCCCCACACCCCCTACCCCTTACCAGCCCCCCCCCCCCTCCACACCACATCCCAAAAAAAAAAAATTAACAAAATTTTAAATTATTTTTTAAAAAAAAATTACCACCCCACCCTCTACCAGTCCCCCCTACCCCATACCATCCCCCCCCCCCCTCTCCACACCTCATCCAAAAAAAAATTAACAAAATTTAAAAAAAAAATTAAACCCCCCCGCCTACAAACCCCCCCTCCACACCATCCAAAAAAAATTAACAAAATTTTAAATTTTTTCCAATAATTTTTTTTTTAAAAAAAAATTACCAACCCCCCTACGCCCCCCCCCCCCCTATCCCAAAAAAAATGTAAAAAAAAGTTTCATTTTGAAAAAATAAAATAAAGACTTTCTTACTACCCCACCCTTTATCACTTTTTTTTTTTTGTGAATGCATATCTTTTACCCATTTTATCCATTTAACTATCCACTTTTAAATGGATAATATGGGTATTACTCATTTTTACCCATTTTTAAATGAGTTGGATACCCAATCCATTTAAAATGGATAAATATGAGTAAATACCCATATTAATTACCCATTCTGCCATCCCTACTCGTAGTTAACCAAAGTTATGATAATTCATTGCTAAATAAGATAAATGATGGATTTTTCTATATAAGTATGAATATTTGTCTATCGCTATTTTTTTTATTTTTTTTTAGAGACCCTATATGTACCAAACGTATCTTTTAAATTTGAAATAGATCTCTCTTTTATTTTGATTCTCATCCAATGTTTGATATCTACATTGAAGCTCAATTATTTCAAATTCGCACCACGTAGGGCTCATTTAGGGGAAAGTGCTCCTTAACAAGAATTTTTTTTTATGCTTAAGACTCAAACTTGAAACCTCTAATTAAGAGAAAAGCAACCTCGTTCACTCCATCAAATCTTGGGTGGTAAAAAATCTCAAGCCTATGGACTATGGTATCTGACATAGATTTTAGGCATAGGTTTATTCTAGAGCTTAATTTGTTTAATTTGCATGGATATTAAAGGGGTAGTGGAGTCTCCATTTTAATGTGTGTGGGTTGTTGGGTCACTAATCACGTGATAATGTCCAAAAGGGTTACTTTAACATGGCTCTATAATTAACATTTAATTAATTTTATCCAACCACAATGTATAAAATACTACTAATTAATCCAAACTTAAAGCTATACCTTCCTCCACTAAAAAGTTTAGAAATGGCTTATTACAAAAAAGAGCAAAGCCACATTGAATGAAAAGATCTAGTAATATAATTTAATGACAATTAATTGTTAAGTCTCATACAATATAGTGTAAATAATTTTCTACATTTATCATTCAATTGATGTATATTTTGTATTTAAAGATAAGTCTTCTAGATATGTGAAATTTAAAATCTTAAAAATAAAATATGTTGTAAATTATTTACACTAACAATGAAGTATATTATGTTTACTTAAACTAAAGACGAGTCCTTATTTTAATCAAACACAATAAAGGAGACTTATGAGTTCAATATGTATTGTATTTATTCTTAGTTTAATAATCTGATGTCCGATTCCATAAGTCCATTACTTAGAATATGTATTGTAGTATTTAAATCGTAAATATTAGTGCAGGAAACTTACGAGTTAATTTTCTCATAGAGAAACTGAATCTATCGTAATTCTGACTTTTGTCATCAATCATCGATAATTCTCACAAAGTGGATGAACACCCTTTTTTACAACCTAGATATTTTATAGGGATGAATATCATTTTCTCTATTGTAAATTCTAATAATAGTTTAATATAAAGAAAAATAACTTTTTTTTTCTTCATCCAGGCTAATAATTAGCACCCTTTATAAATATATCTGATCTGATTAATATTTCCAACACCTACTTTATAAAAGAGAAAACACTTCCTGTCAAGCATATCAAACTTTTTTGGTTAAAGAAAGAATAATTTTCAATGAACTATAAAACAGGAAAATGGATTAGACTGGTCGAGGCTGATTATATCTGTTTTTATGGATTTAATTCTTAAATATTTTTTGGCATTATAAATTTATTATATTTTTAAAGTTATGAGTTCATATCAATTATTTATTTTAATCTTAATATATTTTTACATATAAATTTGTACTTCCGTAAAAATATTGAGTTCAAATAAATTAGTTGTCGCTACTCTGTCTTCGCCACTATCATCGCAAGAAATTAAGAAATTTGTGACAATAAATATTACTGCTCAAAAAAATAAATTTATTTCCACTAAATATCTCTTTTTTAATCATGTACAATGCCATGTAGGCACAATTCAAACAGATATCATGTGAACCATATATATATACTAGTTACAGTAGCCCGTGCTAGCATGCGCCCAACATATATTTTTATTTTTTATTTTAATTTATGTGACATTAATAAAATTTTAACGGTCAAACAATTTTTTGTATGTTCTTTAAATTTTAAGTTGTTGATTATTGTGGTTAATATTACTTTATATGTAATTTTCAATATTCTCTTTGTCCCAATTTATGTGTCATTGATAGAATTTCGAAAGTCAAGGAAATTTTGTATATGTCTTTTAGATTTTGAAGTTATTTAATTATTATGAGTTATAGTACATTTTACGTATATGTTACTTTTTCTATCCCAAACTATGTGACATTAGTAGAATTTTGAGAGTTGATCAAATTTTTTGTATGTCCTTTAAATTTTGAAGTTGCTAATTATTGTGTGATTTGTAGTACGTTTCATGTTATTTCAAATAATATATGTTATTTCCTCTATCCTAATTTATATGGCACTAATAGCTTTTGAGCTTCAACCAAATTTTATAGATGTCTTTATAATATTTTAGAGTTTAATTACCTCTTTTTGATTTTTAATTCATTAATATGCTTTCTTCACAATTATCAGTAGAGCTACCTTTCAGTGTTGATGGTTTAGCAACATACCCTTAAAAGAATAGACCAACGAAAGCTTCCTCTTATTGCTTATTGTGCGTATTATTAAGTAAAAAGTATTCTAATTAATTCTACTAAAGATTCACTAATTGAATGCTGAGAGAAATTAATTAATATGAGAAAAGTACTGAAAAAAAGACTTAATCCTACTCCATCCGTCCAATAATTATTGTTTATTATACTATTTTGGAATGTCCTACAATACCTAGTTTACCCCTTATCATTAATTATAGTCATTTTTCAATTATATTTTTTAATACATTATATTTATTATATTTAAAAAATGATATAGTAATATTACTCTTTTATTTATAATTTCTTAAAAAATGTATAAAGTCAATACTAGAGAAATATTATTGGAGAGAGAATAGCTGATATCAGTCACCAAAGCAATACAACTAAGTAGTAATAAGTGGGGACCATGTTTTCAGAAAGTTGTGCGAATTATTTGTAGTTTAAAGGGGACAAATTAGTCCAATAGATACAAAAAATGAAATGCAGTTGCACTACTCCTTTAACTAACCAATTGAATTACATTTTTATGTGAAATTACAAAAGTAACATCTGAGGATTTTTTTGTCAATTCCCATAAACGGGAAGCTCCTCACATTCACTCTTATTAATAGTAGTAATATAATAATTTTCAAAGTTAAATTAGATTGTATTAATTTGATATTTTAAACAAAAAATTTAAATATGCAAAATCTATACAAAAAGTACTATAAATTGTAATTTTTTGCATATGAATATGATGAAAAAGCACATTGTAAAATATTAGTTAAAATTCTTATAGTTTGACTCTAAAAAGGAAATCATAACAATTAAAAGTGTATAGAGAGAGTAATAAATAGGTAATTAAATTTCAAGAAGTTTAAAATAAAAGGTTGAAAAAAAGAATAAGATAGACAACATATATTGAAAATTGAAAACATATAAATAATAAATGGGCCCAAATGAGGTAGGTAATTAATGGTGTTAAATTGTCCAATAATATAAATTTTAAAGGTACAACCATAAAAGAAGAATGTACAACACTATCTTAGCACATATCATCCAACACTTGTCATGTGCTAAGTAGTAGATATTCCCACTTATTATATATAGTAATAACACTTGTCCCACTTATTATATATAGTAATAAGTAATAGATATTCCCACTTATTATATATATTATATATAGTAATGTATGCATGAGAGGTCAATCTAGAACAGCTAGCAAGAAGCAATAAGAAGTAGCTAGATTTTATTTAATTAAAATATAGTAGATTAGATTAGGGTGAATATATTAACCAATTATGTGAGGCAGCACCCACAAATAGAGTTGGAAAATCCTAGAATATATTAAGAGTGTCCTAACATTAGAGCACAACGTTAATTAATGTCAATTCCCTTTATCCATATCTATAATAATAATCTAATACTACCAATTTTAACGTCAATGTTAGCTACTGTGGTGATGT